CCAGGAGAACCAGGAGAACCACACGAACCAGAAGAACCACACGAACCACACGAACCAGAAGAACCAGGAGAACCACACGAACCAGAAGAACCAGGAGAACCAGAAGAACCAGGAGAACCAGAAGAACCAGGAGAACCAGGGGAACCAGAAGAACCAGGACAGAAGAACCACACGATCACGTTAAAGATCGCATATATATAACATCACATAATAAAAAAACGCTAATCTGCGCTATACAAATGTTATGTTATTACTATTTATCAGGAATTGAATTTATGTCGATCGTGACGTCAGCTGTGGCTATTACACCGGAGAACAACCTAAACTTTGCATTGTAAATTTAATAGTTTAGTTTCTATTTATAGTAATATTCCGCGAACATGACAGTATTTTTTTCCTTATATTTCCACTGACTCAAACAGGAGAGTTTTGATTATTTGGGACTTTGATGTTGAAGATCAGACTGACTGCTTTACCGGCACTGACTGATCCACACGCTGAATTGCCTTGGTTGGACATTAGAAATTGTAACTGCATTTGTTCTAAGTTTCCAGAAAGAGGAATAATTCCTCAAAATTTTGAGACAGATGCTGTGAACGAAAATGAAGAAAGTAACATCACACAAACTAACGCATTTGAACAACGGCTGACTTGTGAGGGTCGATGACAATTCTCAGTATTATGCCAATGAATTTTCCTATTAAATCGATTAAAAAATCAATAAAATAAAATGATAACAAAATTACGATTTCATGTTTTATCAGTTTTCATGTGAATGAGGATAGTAGCGTTACGCGGGTGATCCCCGCCATCTTGACAAGATATGCTTGATAGGTGACATAGTACCATGCACAACATTCAGAATAACTCGGAAACGGTAAGAGGTCCACCAGGGTTCACCTCGATGTTTTTGATTATTAGGAATTAAAGCTTCAGAATATCTATAAATACAGACATATTATCCTTCGTAAAACCAGATGACAAGCGATAAAGATGGACGATATTTCAACCTTCAGTGTCAGCGTGTGAAAGCGATGGCCATCTTAATATTATAAATTTACATAGAAATATGTCTTGTCTGGAAACGAGACTTGGTGTACAGGAACCACTGCTATTAATCCACTTTTGCGACATTTAGAAAATACGAGGTTATGATAAGTAATATGAGGGGAAAGTAATGATTCTTTACGACGACTATGAAATTCTTGTGATATCTTTTGTTGCCTGTGATCATGATTGTGATTGGTCGATTATTTCTGGGCCTACTCCTTTAATATTTAGTAAAGCAGAATACTGTACAACAGAAAATGGGCTCCCTGTGTTAATGACGTATCTGCGATGTTTCCTAGTAAGTTATTGCAGGCTCAGCAATAACAAAGATGGCGAGTTTTATCGAAGGAAAAGGAGGTAAAAAGATTATTGAATTCATGTTTATTCATCTAACAAGCAATAAAATATGGATAGAAAGATCCAAGTGAGTAATTAGCGATTTATTTGGTCTACTAACAAGCATTTTCCCCGTCACAAACCAAATATTCTCTTACAGCCCATGATATATATTATATCAGTTTTACTCGAAGTTGGTGTAGAGAAAGCTCACTCCATATATGGTATGATCAATTCCATATTTGGATTGTGCGGAAAAGCGGCAAACAAAAAGGCCTTCGTTTTATAACGAATTCGACATGAACATTTTTGAAGAAGAGGAAGATAAGAAAAAAAAAAGACAAGTAAAAAGAGAAAAACTTTGTAAAATCGAGGAAGGATACGGGGACGATGCTAACTCGTGGGTCTGTCTCGCAGACAACAGACACAGGAAAATACGACACTCAATGTTCGATATGTGAAAGGAATGAATATATTTTAATGAAGAATGGCCTTTTGTCACCCCCACGTGACAAAAAATCGTGCCTCACTGTGATTGGCTTATATTTCTTGGAGGGCAAAACAAACTTGATATATTTGCCAAGCGACGAGATAAGATCACTTAAGAAAAGTATAATTTTAAGCTATAAAGCTGACAATTTAAAGTCTACGGAAGTGTAAGACCAAACTGCAATGACCTCTGCTATTAAAAGGTGAAGGATGTTTGGATGTGAAGCAGAGCTCGAAAAAATGGTCGCTTCGTTTCATTTGTTTACAATGGCAAAGATAATCACCTATTTCATTGAGGCTTTCAGTACTGTAAATCACTGAGGGAATCTTCTTTCCAGATGTTCAGAGAAGGGCATATACAAAAGATAGCTATAAAATGTGGTTATGGGACTATAATGATTAAATGTGACTGCCTGCCAGAGTTGCGGAGAGATCGAGTGTACAAAATCATGATGTCAAGATGTTGAAGCTTTTTCAGCCGCATTAAGTAGATTTTCGATTGATCCTAAACCGGCATTTGTTTCCGGGAGAATTTCATGTTGTTTTATCGATTCAAAATTACAATAAACTGGGTAAGTACAGGGCCGTAACCAGGGGGGAGCACAGGGTGCACGTGCACCCCCCCATAAAAGCTTAAGGTCCGCTCATCTATCTCCTTTTGCTTTATTATTTTGGTCCTGCTTTTTTTTTTTTGGTTCTGTATATTGGAAGTATAAACCTTCATAACTTAGAAACGCATCACTCAAAACAAGAAATATTTTACCATTCAACTATTTACTTCTATAGAATCAGTACTTAAAGTATTGTCGAAGGGTTAATTTGCACTTTAAAATTGTAATTCCTCCATTGGTCTTTTTCTTGAAGAAAGACTAGTGGTCGTCAGTGGGTTGACGATTTTAGGGAGATTTTCAACACTGTTTTCTTTTAGTAAAATGTGGTAGAGTGCACGCACTAAAACCGTGAACATTAAATAGTACTATTTAGTACTATTACATACAGAATCCTTTGTTTTCTATTGTTTAATTATCACTATTTAGTGCTAAAAATTAGTATTTGTTTCACGGATTTAGTGTGAGCACTCTATCTGTATCCTATATATGACTCTGTATTTCTATCGTAGGAAGTACAATCACGATAAGAAGGACACGTTAGTGAATATAGAAGAAACTGGTCATTTTGTAGTTAATCATCTTCCTCATTACATTTTTGACAAAGCCTACAAAGGTAAGTCCAAGGGCGCATCAAGGGGGGGGGCAAAGGGGGACTTTTCAAAAGGAAAAAAAAAACCAAAAAACAAAACAAAACTGAAGAATTAGATGCTTTTTTTGTTGTTTTCCGTTGTGTTGACGGAAGAAACTCAATTAGCCTTCCCCAAACTCAATTAGAGCCCCCCCAAACTCAATTAGCCCCCCCAAACATTTTGGCTGGATCCGCCCTTGAAGTGAATCTGTTTCCTTTATCTCTAGTTGTCTTAAAATTCATTTTCATTATTATTTATGTACAATATTCTTAGCATCCAAAGAATTTCCTTCTGATGTAAACGAGTTCCAGGCAGTCGGTCTGACACCTACTCCATCAAAGTGTGGCATAGCGCCATGTGTTTTAGAATCGCCTATCTCTCTGGAATGCAAACTTTTCCAGTTGGTCCAAGTTGGCTCAGGGAAGTATGGATCATCAACCCTTATTATTGGTGAAGTCGTATACTCTCATTTCAGAGGGGTTTCGTACGAGGACGGTAAAATTGATGTGCGTTCGCTGMAAAGTGTTTCCAGGCTGGATGGAATGAATTATGGAAACGCTGCTATAAGTTTTACAGTCGATAATAATGAAATATGGAGTTTTAAGCATTGGTAAAAAWTATATGTTAGAGGAGCAGATACGACTTCAACATGCTTTCTCTATACTAAATATATCCCTGATACTAATGTGCCTAACAACTAAAGCAAGAGAAAATGAACTAAGAGAAGGAATCCCCGTGCCCCATCATGTGCACACTTTGATGCTATTTTTAGAATCATCGATGCTATTTTTAACTCGTTACCATGCCCGCGCAATAATCATGCTTCCTTTAATGCCTCGTTTTAGGACACGAAAAGCGACAAAAACACAGGCTTTTGTTTACTGCAAAACTAGAAGCCGCCTACCCTCAAAAAATCAACCAATCAGGTTCTTCGCTCAAAATATCTCCAGGCTAAAAATAGCATTAAACTGTGCACATGATGGTTACAAGGCTATATAGGTAGGATTCCTTCTCTTAGTTCATATTCTCTTGACTAAAGCCTCAAGAGTGATMATTTCATCTGATGTTTTTAACAAATTGACGTTAATTTTTTTTGTAATGCCTCGTGGATCCACACTACTTTGACAATGTGATGACGCAATTTATCGTCAATAAGAGGACAGACACATAAAAGCTTAGGTCAATTTGTTTTTTACAATAACAAAAACGATAAAATCTTCTCGTTTTTAGTGATCATAAAGCACGCGGGGGTTGGCAGAACACGAGAGAACTGCTTCTGGACACTTCTCGAGTGTTCTGCCAATCCCCAAGTGCTTTATGACTGCACACAGCACAGCAAGCAAGTTTTTTATTTCTTTTATAAAATACAAATTACAATAATAGGGAATGACGCAACGGAAAGTGCGAGCGCGTGCAATGTGCTCTCATAAAGCACGCGCTCCAAACCAATCAGAACTCGACATTCATAGCAGTTATTTTATAATTAAAAATAACATATCTCTGGAAAAGAACGAAATCACAAAAAATATAATAGTGTTAAACTTAATTTCTTTATACCTTTGTCCYWTTGTCTATTATTCTGTTTGTTCATCGCCTGTTTGTTTTGTCGAAATTGTATATACTTATTTCAGTTAAGTTAGTCACCAAAAACCTAGAAAGCTGAGATCACTAAGGATCATGGGAAACAATTCATATCAAACAAGTGAAGCTTTTTTGATACAAACTGCAGTTTGAGGATGCTTAGGAGAGGTGAGACTTTAACTGGTAAAAGATGAGCAAGTCCATCAACAGTTATCAAGCGGTTGAAACATGTAAAATGTATCTACCCATAATCCTTGTCTGCTTCAGCTTTATAGTTTTTCACGTGACTAACTTTATTGAAATAAGTATAATTACGCGGAGGAGGTCGGTATATATACATCAATCAAGCGTATATATATATATATACATATACACATACACTTGATTGCAAAAAGGTTGTAGTATACATTTATACAAATATCTAATGAGACGCAAGATATCAAATGAGATGCAGAATTTAAAACATGCGTAATACGATTGCTTAGCCACAGCATTTTGGTGGGAAATATTTTTTATGTCGAAACATTCTGTAAATTCATTTAGACTAAAGTTTAACTCACGTCGAGCCTTGCATCGCGACGCACTAGTTTGCGAAAGAGAAGACAGGAGACATTGGTTTTGGAATAATTTTGGCCACGCTAGTGGCAAGTTCAATAATCAATAAACCTATGTAATCAGGGGCGCCAGGACAGACGGATTGGGTTTTGAATATGTGTGATTGTTTCAGTTATTCGTAGATTTCTAATTGAATTGATATATATTTGTTTCTAAATGGATACTAAATAGTGTTCACTTATCTTTAAAAATAAACGTACTTTCCAACCAACGGTCTTTCTGGTTTGAATCAGCTGTGCGATATGAATATATTTACCACGTCCACCAACKGTCTTTCTGGTTTGAATCGGCTGTACGCTCTGAGTATTTACCGCTGCACTATCCGTGCCAAGCAGCGCCGGCGGCGCTTCGTTAGCGATTACTCACCTTTAATAAGTTAATTAAATTTACCTTCAGTACAGTTTGAGATTGACCAGAGATTGACCTGTGAAGAAGTAGCCCATGTCTAACCAACTTCAAGAGCCAGAGATTTAGCGTGTGGGTTAATTGCGTGGCCAAATACTCTACTTAAATATAATATATATAACACGTCGATATATCCGATGGCGATAACACAGATAAGCAGCCCCTGGCTGACCCTACCTGTGTCATCAAGCGGACGCGTGAACATGCTTGAAATTCAATTGGCCTGAGCARTAGTATTCCTCGCATCCCGCGTTTTTAGTGTCGGTCGTCACGCAACGCTCCCTCCCCACAAACGGCTGCTTGCATTCGAACTACATTCCTTTCTCATTGTTCGGCCAATCACAAGACGGGTTACATATTTAGAGAACCGTTCGCGGACTTTTAATCTGACCAATCACCGTACAGCTTCTATTTCGCATTCTCAACTCGTTCATAGTCGTTCATAGATAGTCTCCCTCGCATCCGTTTTTAGTGTCGGTCGTTGCGTGACGACTGACACTAAAGACGGATGCGAGGGAGACTAGAGCAGTAGGTGACCTAATATAAATTTTAAAGGCGTCAGATTTCCAGCGGCCCAGAGTACGTATTTGGGCATCAGAGAAACCATTGTCAGCAGCGTGGCAAGTTATTTTTTACTTTTACACCTTAACTGTGTAAGTTATGGCTGAAAAGCGCATTCTTATTCTGGAACATTCCTTTATTCGTCGTCTCCACGACTTCATCGAGCGYAATTCCGATCTTATGCTTCAATCGGTCAGGCAATTTCTGCCGATAAACGTTTGGGGGCAGGCTGTTTTATGGCGAACTGATATTAAGTCAGCTTTTCGGATCCAATTCATCCTACTGACTATCCTTTGCTGGGGCTCAAGTGGAATGGTATGTATTATTTTGACAAATGTCTACCGATGGGCTGCTCTTCTTCCTGTGCCATTTTTGAAGCTTTCAGTACATCTCTAGAATGGCTGTCGTTGACACGTCTCGGTGCGTCGGCTGTGTTACATGTTTTAGACGATTTCTTATTCATTCCACCTACCGAGGATAAGTGTCGTACAGATCTCAAAAATTTCATGGGCATGTGCGGTCACCTTGGAGTCCCATTAGCTCCAGAGAAAACGGTGGGCCCTGAGAAAGCTCTAATATTCACGGGTATTACTCTAGATTCTGTGAAAGGCGAGACCCGATTACCTGATGATAAGCTTCAAAAATGTCACACTCTTCTTCGTTAGTTTTATAAAAAGCGGTCAGTAACGCTAAGGGAATTACAATCATTATTATGCCTTTCAAATTTTACTTGCTCTGTGATCGTTCCAGGTCGCGCTTTCCTGCGCCGCATGATTGATCTTACCAAGGGTCGCCTTAATCCCTATCATCATATACGTTTAACTCAGGAAGTCAAAAAAGATATTCTCACGTGGTGTACATTTCCAGACGCCTACAACAGCAAATCGTTTTTTCTGGAGGAAAAATGGGAGACGTCTTCTACCCTCGAACTATACACAGATGCCGCGGCATCACTAGGTTAAGGGGCTATCTTTGGTAAGCATTGGTACAGGAGAACTTGCTCGACTGCGAGAATAAGAGGCCTCGTGATARTAAGACGCGCCTTAAGTACTGYTACATATTGGATTACCGGATCTAACAACAGTATAATGTTTCGACATAAATGTCATTATGCTGTCAGCATAATGTTGTTTTCCACTTCAGTTTGTGCAATACCCTTACTTCAATAGACGCTTAAAAGAACTCGAATTGGTGAGATGAATGACTTGCACAGAAAATATCGTACTGAGTAGACTTTGTTTACTAATGAGGCCTTACTTAACTCGCTTCCATTCCATTGTCCCTAGTCCCAACCGAGTTTGGCGGCCATTTTTGAAAGTCGTGTATTCCGCTMCATTAACTATGGTAGGACTTGATGGTTAAGTTTTCCGGTACAATGAATCGTTTCATTGTACATTGTTCAAATAGCTCAACTGATAATACGAAGATAGAAACTTTTGCACCATCACGTGCCGGCGCCATAATTATCCAGCTTGGGCTGCCTGTGGTTAGATGGCAGAACTATCAAAATCCCTGTCGGGAATTGAATTCTTTCTCATGTATTGTTCCTGCCATCTAACATGGCTGCCGTCACGTGATGGYGCATAACCTCTATACAAGACCGAAGGCCTTCTCTTACTAAAAGCACACGCTACTCGACACGAGTGAAAAACGTCTGCGCATGCTCTGAATCCGTATGCAAATTTGTAAATTTGACTTTCAAACATGCCTGACAAATTGGGCTTCATAAAATGCCAAAACTTAGTGTCCATGCTTGAATTTTAAGGCTAATTCTTTCATATTGTGTTTGTTAATACAGTATCTTGGTCTGACAAAAGTATACTCGCGAAATCTTTTGTATACTTGGAGAAAACAAACATTTATTTTCTCACTCAAACTCTTCAAGAAATTCTTAGAAAACGTGCTGAAGTGCACGCATGCGCAATAGTTTTTTCCTGGTGTCACGGTACTCAGCCAGTACTCTACTCATTAGATTACGTAGGAGATCGAGTTAAAATAATAACTCCAGCGGCCCAGCTTGTGGCAATGAATATCTAAGAATTATACATTATATTTAAATATTATTAATATTATACATAGCACATAACATTAGTTCCGCTACCACAGGTAACCCAAGACGACTTTATTAATACAATATGAGCTAACCAACCAAATAGTCTTCTTTACCTTGGGCGTAATGTTTTCTTATTTCAGATCACGTGTAATTCTCCTGAGAATAAGATTCTTTGTTTGCATTGTATCCATATTAATGTGTCTTACCATGCGCAACCATTAAACAAAGGTATAGCACTCTAAGGAATGACACGTGGTCTAAAATGGGACAACATTACGTCCACGGTGTAAAGGTCAATAATACCTTAGCTTTATCAAAGCGATTAAGGGCCCTGACAAATGGGMCACAATTTAATTATAACCTAAATTTGAGCCAACTTTTGTTGTTACAATGTTGGCACGTTGTTGCGTCGCGAAAAACGGTCATGACAAACGAGCCCAATATTCATCCAACATCAAAAATCACTTCCCAAAATTGTTGGCAGACCAAATGTTGGGTMAAATGTCAGGGCTTTTTTTTAAACTGAGGAATAAGCCAATGACGAAGCAGATTGTTGATTTGATTTATTTTTGTCCTAACTTTCGCTTGAACCAATCACAAAGCGACATTTATACRCGTGATTTGTATGCAAATTAGCCATCTTTTTAGTAAAAAAAGGTGGATTCCATTTTTACCATCTTGGATATGCGGTGATGATAGTGAAATATTTGGCTAAGTAAACGCTGATTTCCAGTACCTTCGAAACATATTTTTATGTATGCGTTTTCTTTTCTTTTCTTTCTTTTCTTTTTTTTTTCATTTTAAATTTTCTTTGTTTTGTTTATTTTTCGTTTTCTCCCCGTTTTTCCCCCCGTATGTTTTCTTTGTTTATTTTATTTTTGTTCTTTCCTTTTTCTTTCTGAGGAAATTCAGATTTCGGTTTATTAAGTTACTCGTTGCTCACTCCTCTTCCGTCATCGTTTTTGTTTCGCTGCCACGCTTCAAATTTATCTATCACGCCTTCAATTTTTTACGCGCGATTTTTATATCGGCCAATGATCCATTTTACAAATGTTAAGCAAGCTAGGCTTTATACGCTAAAGTTAATCGCTATACAAGCTATCAACTCAACACCGCACCAACACACAGTTTGCATGGCTTTATCACCTAATCTTGTAGTTAGGTGTCAGGTTTTATTTACAGATAACCATAAAAACCAAATTGGAAGGATTACAAGAGAGTAAAACGTGGTATGTCGTAGAGAAACCTGAACGAGGGATCCATTACATTTGAGGAGACAGTGAGCGCTGCCGTTGCAACAATGCATGGCTCAAACTCCTCGCCCACTTTGAGTAAAACAACATGCTATATACTGAACTGATTACATTGCTTTAAAGACAAAATAAAGGACTAAATTAATGCATGTCTGATCAATAAAGCTAGTTTTCGCTTATAAAATGAGAGTGGAGCGTATAAATATGGCCTTAGAGAAGTTGAAATGAACCTTTCATCGCAGATTTTTACACTTTGTGGTCGGCAATGTTTCGAGCCTGGGTCATTTAGTCCGTTAGGTAACTGTCAATCTAACTGCAAGTGACGTAGGCAAAACGCGGACTAGGCGTTGGACATGAATATCAGTTTAGTTCAGCAACAGGTGAGGCTTTTTTTCGATTCGCTTAATTACACTTTCTAATTACCGAAACGAAAAACTAATCCGATATATTTGGTCTCATCCATGCATGGCTTGCGCGGTCACACGTGGTCAGCGCGATTAGAGTAGCCGTGTACTGGATACAATCTGATGGGTCACCTTTCAACTAGTAACCGGAACTCGCTTTGTTCCTTTCGTGAACCTGCAAGGACTCGGCCATGTAATCTGGGTATTGCTGGAGATTGTCTTTACGCCATTTGATTCGACGGTTTTGGAACCAAATTTTCACTTGAGTTTCTGAGAGAGTAAGCGACGAGGCTAGCTGTTGCCTCTCTACTCCAACAAGGTATTGGTGTTTGTCGAATTCATCTTCCAGTCTTTTCAGTTGCTCTGATGTAAAAATCGTTCTTTTCCGTCTTTTCTTGACTTCGGATCTTCTTGATTCTGTTGAGTGGCGTCGTGGTGAAGCAGAGCCTGGAGAAAGAGGAGAAAGGACATCAAATGTTTGTATACGAAAAAGCATCAAAATAAACAGAGCCAAGCTTGGAGAAAGTACAGATTCTAAGATAATTACATCGTGAATCGTGATAACTCTGAAATTACACTAAACTCAAGCAAATAAAAAGCGGGGGGTGGTGAATCTTGCCTGAACAACAGTAGAAAATTAGTCAACTGCAAACCTAAAAACGTCAAGAAAAAATTTGCAATCTTTTGAGTTGGTCTATTTGAAAGACTGAAGTTACTGTAGCTGACAAGTCAAAACACTACTTTGAAATACAGCTCAGCACTGATTACATGTGCTTACCCAAAAGGTCGTTTTTTACGCGACATGAAGTTGTGAAAGGCCCATTGGCACTCTTCTTCAGTCGTTTCATACAAGGTTCGTAATTTACCTATTACGCATGCTCTATATGATTTCCGAGCCTATCCCACACGGCTTACCGCCTCAAAAGGTCGTTAGTGCATTTTGACCTATTGCAATTGCTATTTAGAATTACCGGATTTAAAAAAAAATTTTTTAAATATAGTTGCGTCACTAGTACATGGAAAACGCAAAGCCTTGATGTGGAATCTAGCGCATCTTCTCGTATAAAACAAAGCGATTAGGTTTGTTACTCTACCTCTTGTTTCTGATRCGTGACTGGTAGATTTCGCACACCCATGATTGTCGCGAGAAAGTTCCGCTCTTTCTGAACTGCTAAAGTTTCCCACAGGGCTCCTCCAATCCGGGTGGTATGGGCTGTGCGCTGAAGGCACCCAATAATGCAGAGGACCGTGTCTAGGACCGTGTGGCATACCAAGCATTGAACTATCCGAAATTTTAAGATGCGAATCTGTTAATGGTCTTTCAGGGTAGGGCCACGGTCTTCTGAAAAGAGCGTGCCTCTCGTAAAGACACATATAGCAGTGAAAGCCAGCATAGGTTGGCGCCATCAATGATGGGGAATATTCCGCTCGGTTATGGCAGCGTTCTGTGGGTTGCATGTCTCGGGCTTCTTTACACTCCGAGCAGCAAATCGCGTTAAGACCAACAAGTTCAATCAATGGGGATTTAACTCATGGTTTTATTTCGAATAGAAACCCGTTGCCGGTGAACCAAGAGGTTTTTCATCAGAATGTGTTCACAATTAAGCTGTCTGACAAATCGTAATTTAAACATTATTATACTTACTATTAGCTGCTATTAACAAAATTGGAATAGATTTAGAATCCATCGCAAGGTTTAGGGATCTCTTTCTGCTTAGGTAATGGGGTAAACTCGAAGCAGTGTAAGAGTTTATTGGATTGTATTTGCACTAACACATGGTCTATACCATAGCATAAAACTTTGGCTCTACTGAGATAGTCGATAGAGAGATCAACTAAGTTTCCACACTGTTTGTTTACTAGAAGTATAACTTTAATAACTAACATTTAAAGCGAAACACAAAATGACCAAATAGATGAATAAATCATCTTCTGCTCGTCTTTTTTTAGTGCTCTATTTTTTTTAGCTTGTAGCGAAGTCCATTGTTTTTTCTTCTTCTAAATGAAATTTCAGTCCAAAACATACGAGCTATTAATTGCATTACTGGTCAATCCTTAATCCAACAATGAAAAGACTAAAGAGACCCCACAAAGCCAAGTGTAAACAGTTTTTCTTTCATATGAAAAGAATCCCTTTTTCTTTACATAAGTGTCTAAATTGCCTCCCTTGCTAGAAATTACGTTGACGAACTACTAGATTTCCAGGGGGACAGCCTGATAATGAAAAAAAAGTCGTAAAAAATGGGCGCTATTATTGGGGGTTGAATCATTCTGTTGAAATATCTATAGCTATAGATAATGCCATTTGGTTTTATTTATCTGCTACAGATAAGTATAGCTTTCATTAAAATAAAACCAATTCGAACTAATGACATAATTCAACAAACACTGCTTCTGCAGTCGTCAATCAAATTACATAGCAACCCAAGTTTTATGTCCACATTTCACAAAATGATTGAGAAGCCAATTAATTGATGAACAAAACTGGCTTCGGTTTGCAAAACAATACTCAGGTATCGCGTTTCAAATTGACGCCGTTAGYTTTTTTTAGTTTGCTTTCCTGTTTCTTTGAGTTTTGGGAGAATTTCTCCCTATATGTCAGTAAAAGCAATTTGTAAATGAACAACAATTAACGGTAATTAAGGGCGTACTGCGTTGTGCCAAAGACTCGTCTCTTAGGAGACTTAATTTTTCACGCAATCATGTATTTGCTAAACGTATTCTCAGCATTGGTAAAAGCCGACTTTTAAGATCGTTTCTTTATTTACTGATATGTCATATATCGTGGCGAGGAAGATAGCAACCCCATGCGTAGAAAGAGCAATATGATACRATATTTGAAAGAGATATTGAACTATAATGGTCTAACTATACAAAAGCGAGACCATCCATCTCGATGCCCAGATAATCATTATCGCTAATCCTTGTCCACTAATAGCTTTCATTCACGAGTAATTCGTATGAAATGAGSATTTTACGAGAGGGGCTTTTAGATTTAATGAGACAAATTTGCAAATATTACTGAACAGCGAAAAAAATTAGGCTTGCCTCACAATTAGAAGCTTTTTTGGCTCTGCATACTGACTGGATTTCAATGAAAACACGTTAAAAGACAAAATCTGAGGAACAAAGAAATCCAAACTTAAGATAATTAATCTGCGGTGACTATTAAAAGCACATGTGCAGGAAGCAAATCTTTTGATTGACTGACAATAGGAGCATGTAACTTACTGATAGCTTTACAGCTCATCAATGAAACTCAAACCTATCGTATCCATGACAACTCGAAGGCCAAGGGAAGTATTCTCAACGGTGACAAAGAAAGCCTTACTTTTAGACTAAGCCAGCATGTCATTGGGTACTTAGTTGCCTAGTAACGGGGGTACTGGTAAGATCGCAAGTAATGGTCTCTAAGTGGTTCATTTTGCTGTTTATTGTAATTCAATTAACTTGAATAATTTAAAAAGATTTATATTTTCTACAARTCTAAAAATCGGTAATGAAATTTAGCTTATTTTAAATATTTTCCGGCCTAGAATAATCAACCAGGAAATTATTTTGTTCAATGAAAAATTTGAAGGCCAATATAGCTGTTTAAATAAATAAATGAAAATGAATGCAACCAATCAAGTGTTTTCAAATTACAGCCAAAAAAATACTGTCATTTTCCACTTCCTTGTTGGCTGACTTTCCTTTTGATATGCTATATATGGGGGGAGGGATAGGGGGCGGCCAACCTCTCGCGACTTCGGGAAATTTTCGAATAAAAACCTTGATCTGACGAGAGATGAGGGCAGTTTACTTATAACAAGTCTTGAGAGAAAGCCTAATCTATAGATAAAAGTAAAAAACGAAAACGAAATTAAGTTTATAAAACTTTTTAACGCAAATGACTGAAGTGTGAAATCCATGCGTAGAAATATCTTACACTGGAGGAAATTSCAAACTGCCATCCTCCCTGCAAATACAATTCGCTTTCAACCACCGTCTTCAGTTAAACCTAGAACTTCCGGCTAATGGAAAAGTTAATGGGTTTTACTTTTCTTAAAACTCATTTTCCTCTTCCTTCCTTGTAAC